AGATAATCTAACTACATTCAGGGAAAAGTGTGTGTGTGTGTGTGTGCGTGTGTGTGTGTGCGCGTGCGTGTGTGTGTGTGTGTGTAGGATATTTAGTACTTAGTTCTTAGAGTAAAGAAAGATCATATATTTAAGTGGTAATGAGGTCATTGGGCCTGTTTTGGATACAATTACTTCTAGTACTTTTTTGTTACTGTTATCTGAGCATGTCTCTTTGCTTCATCAAATATCCTGACATCTCATCGCTACATAAATCAATTATGCATTGCCTACACAGAGCATTCTAATATCTGCTTGCCGTTAGTCTGTTGAATAAAAAAGAACTTGTTGTTTTAAGTGAATTTTGGGAATTGATCTGCAACATGCCCTCTGTCATAAATTAGTGAATATATTAAAAAGGGTTGGTCAGAGCAGCAATTTCACTAATCATATTAACTGCTTTGGGGATGGAGAGGAGATTGTAGCCCTTTGGTCTTGGGGAACTAAGTTAGGACCCAAATCAACTTAAAGAGCAAACAAGTTCTGTAATTGAGACAATGGGAATGAGAGCACTATGGTTTCAACCACAGATTATGTAGGATACAGTTTTCAGGTATGGCTGAAATGGGTGATGAGTGAGAACCTGGAGCATGGTTTCAAATAAGCACTGTGATCTGCTTCCTCTCCCTACTTTATCTCCATGAAATTTCTAGTTGATGATGTCATCATTTCCCACCAAATCCAGGGCTTCCTCACAGTCCTTCTCAACACAGCATTCCACACAGCCACTACCAATCTATCAGAGTTAGCACAAAACTGGTTATTGATCCTTTAATCAGAAAAAAAATTCATGAGTTCAAACTACCACTAAATCGTCTCATTTGGAAAGAGATAAATTAGAAAAAGTTGGATTAGTCCCCATGTTTAAGGTCATGGGAAATCCAGTCACACAGATAATTAGTTTGACTTTGATTTACATGGGGATCTTGGAAAACACATACACACACTCCCACGCGTACACAAGACCATATGAGTTTAATGAAAGACATATTGCTGCTTTTGCCTGTTTCCTTTTGCTTTTTAACAGATCAGTTGAACCTGGTTTTCTGTGCTTTTGCTGGAGACTCTATACTCATTCAAAATGGAACTGTCAACATAGTTGGAGAGTCAAGGGGCTTCAGTAGTGCATCAAGTGGGAACCAAGTGAATGCCTATCACCTGGTTACCTGCCCATGCCACACTGAGCATTTCTGTAAGAAATCACGACCTATAAAGTAAGCCTGTAGAAGTTTCAGTTTTCTCCCCTGTACTTTGGAACCTGTTTATCTGTACAGATGGTCTCTGTCAGTTGGAATAGTCGGGGGGAAATGTAGTATAAGTGAACAAAATAGCAAATAGAAAACAGCATACCAGGGCCAGCGTGGTGGTTCATGCCTGTAATCCTGGCACTTTGGGAGGCTGAGGCAGGTGGATGCTTGAGCTCAGAAGTTTGAGACCAGCCTGTGCAATGCAGTAGAACTCCTTCTATACAAAAAAATACAAGAATTAGCCAGGAATGGTGGCTTGCACCTGTAATCCCAGCTACCTGTGGGAGCTGCAGTCAGCCGAGATCACACCACTGCACTCCAGCCTGGGTGACAAGCAAGACCATGGAGGGAGGGAGGGAGGGAGGGAGGGGGAGAGAGAGAGAGAGAGAATAGCATATCTGATGGGGGAAGATCTATGGACTGAGAAATTTTTCAAGTAATGGTAGGTACAAAACAGGCTTAACATGGGCAGGGAAATAAGAGGAATCAGACAATTCCGTGATGTGTATTCTCAATACACTGTAGCAACCCTAATGCTTTCATTGTGATATGACTATTCTCCCATTGTCTGTATTTATATAAATTAAAAAGCAGTTTTTTCTGTACTATATGAAATGAATTCATGCTGAACAAAATTTCAAAAAGTTCATATAAAGAATGATTTCACAGCAACTATCATATCAGGCTCCTGGAAAATTGCACTTGAACTTCAGTTCCACCTCAGTCACTCAAAGGAATTTAAAAATTGGCTTCCAGCCATCCTTGTTCTTCAACATGCAGTTTCAGATATGCCTCAATAACACAAACTTTAAAGCCTATTGATTGTGAGTTAAAATCTGTTCCTACCAGAACCTCACTGCTAAGTGGACGTCAACACCGACTTCACAGTGCCTTGGTCAGGATTCCTCTGAGTTCAGGAGGCTTGAAGAAGGCAGAGGGTAACATTGCTATATGAAGGAGCCACTTCGAACTTTATAACAAAATTACAAGAAAAACTTTGAACTCTATCGTTTGATAGCTGCTGTAAATGGTTATTCAAAGAAATGTTTCTAATTTGGAATCCGAAGAGTGCCTTGGGATTGGGAGATGGGAACCTGGAAACATGATCTCCCACAAATCACTCTCCTTCTTTTGCATCACTTCATCCTTTTTTTCTAACCATGCTGTTTGGGCAAGCACCATTAGAGTGGTTAGACAGACGGTGGACTTTGAAATAGTTAGATGTAAGTTTGAATCCTGGCCTCTGCTGCTTAACTAGCTGTGCAGTTTAACCTCTCTGTGACTCAGTTTCCTCATGTATAAAATGGGAATGTGTTATTTTATTTTATGGGAATATATAATAATTCTAGCCTCAAGGGATTGTTTTGAGAATTAATTGAGATAATACATAAAAAGGAACTAGCACAGTGAGTAGCAGATAGTTATTATGTAAGAAACATCAGCAGTTCAATTATTCATGATAATGATAGTTATTATTGTTAGAAGGGGACCTGGGGGGAGGTATCGATTAAACATTAGCACTGACTCTGATGAAACTCCAATGTGTTCATTCTACCTTTTCCAGAGCATCCAGCAAGAAAGTAATGCCTTAGATGAATCCCAGACAGCCATGAATGAATGGAGTTTTTCAAGTCAAACTCCATTTATCCACTGATCAATTTCAGGAATTATTTGTCTCCATTTTTTATTTGTTACTGTGCAGGAGCCCCTAACATTTAAGCTTTAAGGGTATCTTATCTCCTTTCTCTGCCATCCCATCCTCAGAAGGGTAATGGGCTAGTGGTTTGACGCCTCTGTAACTGTTTTCTCTCACCAGAAGTCACTTTCTTCCTCTTTGGAAGATTGCTCAGGCATCACCTTTCCCAGGAATCCTTATTTAACTCTGCATCCGCACTCCTACCTGGCCAGGCTTAAACAGTGACCCTTTTCTCTGACCCTAGAGCACCATGTCATGTGGTCTTTATCAAGTAACATATTTACCTGTCTGTCTCCCACTAGACTGTGAGCCCTCTGAGGGCAGGAGTGGTATCTCACTTATTTTTGTATCCTCAATGTCTATCAAGGTGCACATATATTTTATTGAACCAAATGAACCCACAAATAGCTTTAAATACACCAAATAATGAATCAGAAAATACAATGATAAAAGTGACAATTAAAAATTGACATTCATTTGAGGTGTCTGTGACGTCTCTACATTAGGAGTACATGTAAAAACAGGAACACACATTTATTCTGGCTCAGGTACTTTTACCTGAGTTGCAACACTCACCTAGTTCTCAACTTTGCTTTTTCAATGCTCCTTCCTTCCACACCCCCAGGTTTAGGAGACAGGCCATGGGCTGCTTCTCTTGGCTCATTTTCCTGAACTTCCTAAATGAGCAAACAGCAGGCAAGCAACTGCAAAGACCCCAAGATGGAAGGATGAAGCAGGCAAAAGTATAGGTGGTGATTGTCGTTGCCCAGCAATTTGGCTGCCAGGAGCTCCCTGTCATGTGAAAGAGAGGGCACAGCAGCCTCTGTGTGGTAGGACAGCTTCTGGACCCAAGGGCAGCTCCATGTCACTGAGCGCCTTCTGCCAGACTGGCTGCTCCTCCTCAAGGCTAGAGATTCTGTGCTTTTCTTTGTCAGTATTTTTCATGGTGTCCCAAAAACCACATGATGGAGAGAGCGGGGACATCGGCCAACTCTTTTGGATGCCAATGCATCACGCTTTCTATCACTCTTCCGCTTCTATCTCAAACTAATTAATCTGGTTTTAGAGTACCTTATTTTTGTTCAGTCATTCAGCAGATGCTCTTCTTTAGGAAGACATTGGAGATGCAGGGGTGAATAAAATAAACAAGATGCCACATTCAAAGAGTAGTAAGGTCTATGAAGAAATGTAAGCAGAGTAGTAGCCTAGAGCAGGTAGATGGGCAAATTTCGAGAAGACAAACATGGAAGGGTTGATTGAAGAGAAGAAGTGAGATTGTAAATGTTGGCAAGGTTGTGGGGGGTGGTGATGTGGGTGGCATCCTGCATAGAGGGGACAGGAAGTGGGAAGACTCTGAAGGTGGAAAGGCTTGGTGTGTTCAAGCAACAGAAATAAAAATGACCACATTGGTTAGAGAATAAGGGGCCACATGGAGAGTTGTAAAGGTCACTACGAGAGTGAGGTGGGAGAGGCAGCTTTGGGCCAGAGTACTCAAGACAGGTAGGTCATCATAAGTTGGGTTTCTTTCTACAAGCAATGGAAAGTTATTGGAGAGTGCTAAGTGGGTGAGTGATACAATCTGATTCCTCACCTTACAGTTTCATTCTGGCTGCCGTGGAGAAAGGATTGGGACAATGGGGAGTGGATTGTTTATGTGGCAAGAGTGGAAGCAGTGAGACTAGCAAGGAGGTAGCTTAGGGAGAGATAATGAGCACTTAGATTAGGACTGGAGCAGAGGGGATGAAAGAAACTGGATGGTTTCTAGACGGATTCCATTTCAGTTGTGTACATGTATATTTCTGTTCATGTCCTTTTTCTGAAATATGCAACTACCTAAAATACGAATTTGGACTTTTGGAGAAACATCAAACCATTGTTTAAAAAAAAAGCACATCTGGAGCATTTCATTTTTTTTTTTTTTTTAATATTTGTATTGTAAGCTGGTTTCAATGTAACTTTCTTGGGATGCTCTCATGACACACATTGCTGACCTTTGACCCCTCTGTCCTCTTTCTCAGGTCGTCCCATTCCACCTACATCCTCGCCTAGTCTCCTCCCATCTGCTCAGCTGCCTAGCTCCCATAATCCTCCACCAGTTAGCTGCCAGATGCCATTGCTAGACAGCAACACCTCCCATCAAATCATGGACACCAACCCTGATGAGGAATTCTCCCCCAATTCATACCTGCTCAGAGCATGCTCAGGGCCCCAGCCAGCCTCCAGCAGTGGTAAGGAAACTGTGGTGTCTGAATGTGTGGTGTTTCGTGAGTGACATTCTTGATTCTCCAGCAAAATGACAACGCTGAAACAAGGGCTGGGGGAAGGTGGTATGGGAAGCATCAAGGTGAAATGCAGCTGTCCTTTTGTGGCATGGCATTTTCAAGATACATTTGTAGAAGGCAGAAGTTACTGAAGAGGTTTTGCTTATCTTAACAGGGTTTAGGCCTCCTTCAGTGGAAGGCATTTGCCCATTGCTGCATGTGTGGGCATGCTGATCTCAAAGGTGAAGTGCAAAGAGACGTAGAATATTGAATTTTGTATTACTATGGTCCTGGTCACAGCTGAGTGACCCCGGACACCCTCACATGCTCAATTTATGTGTAGCTCAGATCCCCTGTTGTTTTTTTAATTTGCTTTTAACTTCTTATTCCTTGCTTGTTTCGATGATTTTGAAATTAAAATGTGTTCCCGTGACATCAAGGCTGAATGTCTTGCCAAGTATGAAGTGTTTGGGGGTGACCCTCTACTTGTGACCTCACTTGAATTAACAAGCTGATGATGTGGTACAATGGTAAATACTGCCTCTAAATCCATAGTTCTTATTTTTGTTTCCACATTCACAGAACAGAGACTGAGCCCAAGGTCCTCTCCCACTTTGGAAGATTTTGTGGCCACTTCTCAGCTCCCAGTCTCTGAATCTTGGGTGGAATTGCCCGAGGCCCAGCAATAATCATGCCTTATTTTGATTTCTCTTGTTGGTGTTATGCTTACATGAACGTCTGAACATAGGAATAGGCAATTTCTAGGTATCCGTAGCCCAAGGAGAGACAATTTAAGTATCCATGGCCCCAGGAAAGACATTTGCAGAAATTAATTGCTCCTGACCTAAAGGCTTGGGAGTCATCTTCTGAATTGGCCACTCATGAGGTTCATTAGCATATCCCATCCAAAGCAATACAAAGCTTTCCCAGCTGGGAGTGGGCCTTAATGAAATTGTGTTTAGGTTACATCCAGGAGTGTATGCCACCCACCACTGGCCTCAACCTCTACGATTAGAGAGCACCTCCCAAATACATTTCAGATGACTCATTCTGGAAATGAAATGATGGACTGCTACTTAGGGTGGCCCATGCCCTTCTTCATAGCCAGGCCTGATATATTTAGTAAACTCATATTCTTTTTCAAAAAAAATTACCTAATCAAATCTCTCATCAAATGAGCAATCCATTGTTGATATTATGAAGGCCTTTAATCTACCATAAATCTTTATTAGAACTCATCAGAGCTTCTAGTTTGAGAGAAATGTGATTATGGCACTCTTAAAATGACATTACATCATTGGGGTGATTGGTTTATCATTTGGAGAAGAGACATCAATCATAACTAGCATAACCACACAGTAAATGAATTCAACCTTTCTACCGCGGAACAATGACACTGTAATTGCTCAAAATCAGGCTTAAAATGAAATCGGAAAATGCTCTTTCTTCAAATATGATGTTAACTTAATGGAATATATTATGAAAAATCATGTTTGAGGAAATTCTATATAATTAAAAATATGTGGAAATATATTCCCTTTTTACTTTCATCAGAAGCTGATTTTAGCTACAGAGCCCTTTTTTGCTGCAGATGATGTTGCATTTAATTGAACTACCTTCGCTTATGTTTTGCTGCTTTTTATTTCATACTATGTAATCGTGATGAATATTGTATTATGAAGGACAAGAGGCTTTTGAAATGAGATGCACCTGCTGATAGCTTTTTAAAAACAGACAATTATTAGAGATAAAATGAGCTTTTAAAAACTATATCCTTTTATGCATATATGGACACTCAGCAATGATGATTTCCATACGAGAGGTCAGTTATTATCTTGAGGCCATCTGGAATGTTTTCTCAGCAATAATGCAGTGAGTGATTTCCTTTCTTTTGGACGGTGTATCAGATTGAAACTTGTTGATAGGGTATTTATGTCAGCTTTATGCCTAATCAAGACCTCATTTTGGTGGACACAACAGATCTGTGTGTTCAGAGTCGAACTTATCCATTTCTCATCACTCACACCAATTTGTTCAGCTCACTTAAAACTGATAGCGTTTTAAGCTCCGGTAACAGGCGAAAATGCCACAGAAAATTTAGCCACAGAAAATTTAAGGGCTCATTTTTATGCCAAACAAGAGCTGTACTGATATGATTTCTTCAACTGAGGGGGTGAAGACCCAAGTGTGCAACACCCTTGTTTTCAGCATGTACTTATCATCAGAGAGTTTGTTAAAGCTTTGGGCAACAGGCAGTCATTCGAAATTCTGGTCTCTGGCTTAGCTAAAATGAGAGCAAATCAAGTTTGAGTATGTGTGTGCTCGTGTCTGTGTGTGTGTGTGTGTGTGTGTGTGTGTGTGTGTGTTTCTTGTGGAATGGATTTAGGGTCCAGGGCAAATTGGGGATTCTATCAAGATCTGAATGCAGTTGCCATGAATTTAAATTTGACGTAAAGGATTGAAAATAGAGTTTGACATGGAAGATGCAAAGTGCAGAGCTGTGTCTGAGTGTTTTGAATTGAGTTTGATGAAAGGGGCTGAATTTTTCAGGAGGTGTCACAGCACAAACAAAGCTGCCATTTGTTTGTGTGTGTTATGTCCTGTTGGTTAATTACACAGGATTTTTTAAGTTCGTCTCTTGGCGATGAACCTGTGTACTAAGAATCTGGTACCACTTTGGTCTTTGTCTCTTTCTTTTACTTTTTGCTAGAAATAAAACACCTTCTAACATATTAGCCCATCCACGACAGTAAAACATTATTTCCTGCTCTCCTCTTATAGTTGCTGTTATTATTTGATGTTGGTGAAGCCCATCATTAGGAGGGTCACAGCACACAATTCCTGCCCAAGGAGCACCTGTTCTTCAGAAACTAACCAGACATAAACTACAGGAACTAAAATGTTTTTCCCCAACATGAAAAGCTCCTCAAAGCAACAACAAAGCTTCACCTTTATGGCTTAAGTATCATTATTTTCTATGACAGTAGTGCATTCTTTAGTGGACAGTACTAAAACCTTGCCACCTTTGGAGCCAAATTGCTCTAACCCTCAATCTATGCCAATCAAGTAGATGCCCAGGTACAGCTAGCAAGATGTTTACAGGAGTGGTGTTTCTCTCCCCTTAAGCATTTTCTTTCAGATAGCTGAGCTCCAGCGAGTGGCTCATTCTGTGTTCTGACCTTCTGCCAGAGCAACTTACGCCAGACATGTTTCTTGTATACACAGAAGCATAATTTCAAATCCTATGAAATAACTCATCTGGAAAAAAATATCTAGATCCCAGCAGCAGCATAATGGAGGCTCCTGCAGATGGAAGAATGAGACTACCTTCTAAATCAGAATAGGGCTTGCAGTTTGCTATCAGCATATGATGCAGAAAATACACGAGCAACCACATTATCTTCTAAAAGCCCTGGCTTTCCTCTACCTGTGAAACATTGAATTCTAGTTTTCTTTAAAATGCAAATAAAGGGGCTTCAAACACTCATTAGGAGCTTCAAACTATACATAAGAAATATAGTAACCAGGATGACCGGGCCAGGACCCTTTCAGTAGATCTTATGTGGCAAAAGAGCTGTTCCAGTCAGAGTCTCTGTTTGTAACTGAGCACATGAAGGGTGCCCTTACCCTTTTTAAAAGAGCAATGCTTTAGTTAATTCTAAATGAAAACAGTATATCAGAGTCAGCAGGCTTTGAGGTTGCCTAGGATCAATAAGTTACCTGGATAACTTAATAATTAAATGTTAATTCAATAAGAAGTGCTGTTTTATTTATCTGGCATCATAAAACAAATAAGCTTCATTCATTCATTCATTCATTCATGCATTTCTTTTTTGCACCTTTCTCACAAAATATGTAACAGCTCATAACAATTGTTAATTTTTTATTAAGGTCCAGGCTGGAGTATAGTGGCATGATCTTGGCTCACTGCAACCTCTGCCTCCCAAGTTCAAGTGATTCTTGTGACTCAGCCTCCCTAGTAGCTGGGATTACAGATGCACACAACCACACCTGGCTGATTTTTGTATTTTTAATAGAGACAGGGTTACACCATGTTGGCCAGGCTGGTGTCAAACTCCTGACCTCAAATGACCCACCTGCCTCAGCCTCCCAAAGTGTTAGGATTATAGGTGTGAGCCACCACGCCCAGCCAACAATTGTTAAAACAAAGTTTTTTTAGCTATAAATAGTTAATGCAATAAAGGTAAAGGAAAATTTAGGAGGGAAAGCGTATATATATATATATATATATATGCTCAAATATATAAAGTCCTGTTCCATTATTTAACATAGAGAGCTTGATTTTAAGCTTCCTAGCAACCACAGCAAAAAGGGAAACATAGAAAGAACAAGATGCATAACACCTCATGAGATAAATACAAGTCAGTCATTTCAGGGAAATTCTGTGAATCCTCACAATGAGGCTAGAAAGAAGTTTGTCATAAAGGAGCACATGTGTGTATCCAGATGACTGGATTCTCAGTAACATTATGTAATACATATGCTAATTTCCTGTCAAAATTCCTTGTAACCTCCCTCTAAATAAGACATACAGCACACTTTCTGTGTAAAAACAATTCTACAAATGTCCAATATTTGCATAGTCCAAGGGCAAAACTTGACTTGATTGATAGACAAACCTTAGTTCTACTAAAGGACCATGTAAACTGCATGTCCTGTAGGCAACAGACCTTAAATATCATTGCTCATAACTGAATTTTTGTGGGAACTAGCAGACATTGAGGTTAAAGTCATCATCCAGAACCTGAAAAGCAGATGTTCTGTGTTACAAATTTGTCTTGACAGCCACATAGAGGTTAGAATTAATATCCTCTCATGAAAACTTAAGGGTGACCTCACTCATCTGGCCCCTAATATCCATCCATGGGGCTAGATTTGGGATGAGGAAGAAGTCGATATCTTTAACCTAATGAAACTTCTTCCCCTTATATATGTTAGGTTTTCTA